TTCGAGGGAGCAGCATGTTTTCGTGACTGTTCATACCATAATCATTGGAAAACAGAGAACGAATTGATCCATGTCGATCAGGTAAAAACATTTTTGATTCTGATGTCAAATTTTGCATTTCAATCAACTTTCTTATTTTTTTCCAGCATCCAATCAAAAAGCCGAATAAGTGTTGTATACAAAGTTTTGCAGCCATAACTGATAGTGATGAATCGACTGGTGGTCTAGTTGTTTATCCAAAATCTCGTTTTTTTCTTCCATCAAAAGCATTTTATTGAATTAACAAATCTCATCGGACCAAGCGATTATGATTGTGATTTTATCCAAATCGCTCCCGATCATCAAATTTTAAAACAGATTAATTCATGTGAACAGACCGTCTTTAAATTAGTTAGATATAAAGCGGGTGATCTTGTTGTATGGAATAGTCGCCTTATACATTGTAATACACCGGCATTTAAATCATCACCCAATAAGACAAAATGTGATCTAATAAGAATTGCTGCACAATAGCGAGGATATGAGTAATGTTGTATAGCTATTTTGGAAAACTCAGTTTTCTTCTAGTCACATAACCCTAGGAAAGATGATTCGATCAAGCTGAAATTTTTACCACAGACACTTCAGGCTGTCTCGTGTTTTATATTTTTCTTTTTCTAAAGTTATGTTTTTTTCTTGAGATATTCAGAAAAATACTAAAAATCTCTACAGTTAATGAAATAATTTTATGTATAAAAATGTTGAGTGCGAGATATAGGGATAGAACAGTGAAGGAGCAAAGTATAAAATACCACGGCATGGTTAATATAAAAATGTGTAGTTAAATATTAACTGCACAGAGAAATTCATGTAGGGGTCTATTGGAGATCTCTCCGTGAGGCAAAACTTCAAATAATTTATTTTAACATTTATTACTACGGGTTTGTACAAAAGGCGCTACAGAGCATAGGATTTATTTTTAACTTAAACTCTTTAAAAAGAATGTATAGTTTTTAGCTTTTTTCCGTAGTTTTAAATCACTGCTGTTCTACTAACCTTATTCGACATTTTGATTGAAATTAAATCTTTTAAGTGGCTTTTTTGTAAAAAACTGATAATTCACTCCTTTTTGGTTTTAAGGTGTAAAAACCTAGATTTATGGGCAATTTTTAATACTGTATCAAATGAGAAAAGCGTTTTAATTTCGATGCTTCATACTCGGTGAATCATTTCCAAATATTTGCAAACTAGTCAATATAATAAACTAACATTCGCGATTTTTTGCAAATAGCAGTCAAGAAACCTTCAGGTTCTTCACATATTTGAAACATTAATAAAACAAAACATACCATATTATAAAGGAATCTACTCATTATTACCTGTTTTATTTTGGTTTGCTTTGAAGTAATGTAGCTGATTTCCTACTGCATTATACAACTATCTTTACTATGAAGCTGTATTTTGAACTCATTTACACAAGCCTTCACACTCTCAGAAATAGTTTTGCTAGTGCCTGTGTACTGAACAAATACCTACAGTTGTACTCTCTAAAGTTCGCGAAAGAGTCGTGTCACGTTAATACATATCTCTAGTTAACAAAAACAAGGAAAGGCACTGAACAAACTAACCGAAGATAATGTAGCCCCCCCCCCCCCGGCCCGGGGGGGGGCGCCCGGGGGGGGGGGGGGGGGGGGGGGGGGGGGGGTGTTTTGGGGGGGGGGGGGGGGGGGGGGGGGGGG